TCTGTTTTCTCCTTCACAGATGCTGCCAGACCTGCTGAGCTTTTCCAGCAACTTTGTTTTTGTTCCTGATTTACAGCATCCGCAGTTCTTTTGGTTTTTATTAGTTCCTGCCAATTTGGCGCAAACTCAGTTTCACTACGCACACTGAATTTCCCATAGCATTCAGTTTGGACATGTTTCCATAGTTTATTTGAACTCCAGGCTGTCCACTCCACCCCATATCTGATAGCTTGCTGTACCCTAGAGTAGCTGGCTTTCAGGAGGCTGTAGGTTATACTCACTGCATTTGGGGGCACACATGGCTGCAAGAAAAAAGAAAGAGTCTGATCAATGACCAAGAAGTTGCATTTCTTTAACACCTTTATTGCACTAAATTGCCACAAGGTAATGGGGGTGTAATCAGAACAAAATTCGAGACTGAGTCACATGAGCACGTTTTGGGTCACATGACTAAAATCCCAGGCATGTGAGTAGGCTTTAAGGAGCATTTTAAGGGAGGAAGAGGCAGAGAGGTTTAGGGAAAAACCTCCAGAGCTTAGAGCACCACACGCGCAGGTACCAATGGCAGAGCAAAGGTTAACATGATACATGAGCAGCTGCAGGCAGGGAGATACAGATGTTGTAGGGGGTTACAGCATAGGGAGTGGTGAGGCCATGGAAGGTCATGGAAACAAGGATTAGCATTTTAAAACGCAGGAGTTGCTGGACTGGGTTAGCAGGTACACACATGATGGATGAACAAGTCAGGATACAGGTAACAGAGCTTTCGATTCATCAGGTTTATCACCAACGGAACGCTTTCTGACCTGGCTTGACCGAGAGCAAGTCTGGTGCTGCCAGAAGACCATACAGGAAACAAGGGGAAAATGTCCCACCTAATTTTTCATCTGAAAACCATGAGATTCTCCTGTGGTTTGCTGAAGAGTTTTTCCTTCCCTAAATGTGAAGGAAGGTTTGCATTGAGGGAGCGCCTTTCTCAACCAGGGAAACTCTTACAAAGACGAATGAGATAGATGATGAGATAATCTATTATTTGGTGGTGCTGGCTGAGGGATAAATATTGTCCAGGATGCCAGCGACAACGTTTCTCCTCTGTACATGGGCACCACGGGAACTTTTACATCCACCAGGGGAGCCTTATTGTAACTTTTTCAACTTAAAGATGGCACTTCCAACGAGGCAGCACACTCTCCATACAACGTGAGGAGTACAGTGCTAGAGTTTGTGATCAGGTTTCTACAGCATGCATTGAACCCACAATTTTCTGACGCAGAGATGACCCACAGTTACGCTACAGTCAACTCTATTAATATCCAGCAGCGGGAGAGTTATTGTGACGATATGATGACCACTGTCTCTGAGCCAGAAGGTGAGAGGTTTGAGCCCCAGCGAGTGCATAATGGAGAACCAGCTCCCATTGTTGGATTAACATCTGGTGGTTACATATGTCTCTGACGAATGTGGGTGTCTCCCATCTGCTTCTGCTCCATAAAGCAGAATTGTGGTAGATGTCAAGCCCTGAGGAAGCCCTGTGAAAGTTAAAAAAATAAGTTGACAAAGACAACAGGATCCCACCTTGGCGATTTTACCAAGTGAGTATCGCTCATACTTGAGGTTTGAGTGAAGATCTGTCTTCAGGATGACAACAATTATATAAAAATATTAACAATAAATGTCTTCTCACCTTCTTGGGTCAATTTTGGAAGTTTAACCTCATAGAGCCAATTCCAAAAGATAGGCAGGTCTGTCAGGGTCTGGTTGATCTCTGGGGAGGTAGATGCATATGCAGAGATTGTGACAGCCATTCTCCAGACTAGCGTCTTTGGTGTAATATACAGGTAGAAGAATAATTGTGCCTACCTATCACTCGTAGAACACGATGCACCTTTTCTGAGATCATGTCGACAAACACTTCATCTGAGCAGGAAAATAGCAGAATCCAATTTTCACGATTATTGAATAAAACTGACCTCTCATAACAGAGCTTATCTTTCTCTGCACCTTCTCTATAGCTGTAACTCTATATTTTGCATTCTGTTCTACTACCCTGATGTACTTATATAAGGTATGATTTGTCCGGTTAGCATGCAATACAATATTTTTCATTACATCTCGGTACAGGTGACAATAATAAATCAAATCAAATCAAAATTCCCTCCTATAGAATCTCAGTAAACCCCTTCTCGTTCATTCCCACTGAACAAAATTCCAATGCATTCAACTACTTCCTTTCTGTTATCATTATGGGGGCCTGCTGTGTTCATCCAGCTCTACACCTTGTTATCTCATAAGTCTTTCCCTCCCATTTTATAAAAAGACTCTAGAACCAAATCCTTTCCTATACCTTCCCATTGTTTAGAGACAGAACAGGTCTCTCTGATTGAGGAGAGACCTCAACAAGAGAATGGTCTGTTCCTATACCATAAATACTTTCCAATTAATGTTTCCACAACAGGAAACCTGACAATATTGAGAGGTAACAATAATGATCTTGATTTAAAGTACATTTATTTGTCTGATTTAGCTAATTGCAAATATCTTTCCTAAAGTTGGGCACTGATAATTCTAAGAAATATAGATAAAATGAATAAGAAATAGGGCAGGAATGACAGAAGCAAGAGATCAAATGGTTTAATTAAGAGAAGGAACCAGTGTTAAAAGTTTCAGGCCTGATAGGGTAGTGGATACAGATCAAATTGTAGCTTTCAAAGGAGATTTGGGTACATACTTGAAGAAGAAACAAAATTAGGAGGGAGAGGAGAAAAAAGAAGTTGGAGGGGTATGTGGAAAGGACACAAAAGTGGAACTAACTGGATTGGCATTCAAAACTACTGCCAAATAGTTGACTGCGTGCTGCATTACTCAATGATTTTATTCTATAATGGGTAACCTCACCAAATAGAAATTTATTCAGGTCTGCATCTGTATACTTTGTGCAGCTTGCAGTCTCTGTCAGCGCCTTATACTCCTCACACAGCTTCTCGAATCTGTCTCTTATTCTTTTGTGTGGAAAAGCACAGAACATGCAGGCTTCAGCTTTCAAGGCAACACCCAGCCAGAAACTGGCCACCATCACAGTGCTGGCTGTCTTCTTCATTTTCAACTTTGTGAAAGACGATCCAATAACGAGATTGGAAGCTAGTTTAACTGCTCAGTCTAACAGTTCTTGGTTATGTGTTTGAATTAAACCAGTTAATTTTAGGTTTACTGGGCAATTAATTGTGTTCCACATTCTATGCCGTCATAAAGATAGCACAGAGAGCTGCTGATGTCAGTAATTCCGAAATCGCTCAGCTACTTCTCGTGATTCTGTATTTATTTTATATCCTATACTTCTCATGATTTAGAATAGATGAGTTAGTTGTCTATCTACATCTGGCCAGACTGAGTAACCTAGAACTCAAACCAAAGGTCTTAAATGGTACATTGGAGTGCGTGTATGTGTTTGTTTGGGTAAGCAGGATGGTTGGTTTGCGACACAAAGTGATGCCAACAACATGGGTTCAATTCCTGCATTGGCTGAGCTTACCATGACAGACTCACCTTCTTTCCTAACCTGAGGTGTGGTGACCCTCAAGTCAAACCACCAGCAGTTATCTCTCTTTAATAAGAAAACAGTCCTGTCGTCTGGTACAACTAGGGCAACTTTGCCTTTTAAACTGTATGTTAACAAAGCTCTAGCAAGTATTTGAAAGTTAGCTGAGGGGTGTTGTCATGACTTAGCAATACAAAAAAAAAACAGCTGCCCTGTATGTACTATGCCTCGTGATAAAGGGTCTCTCTGATTTTTCTGGTTAGAAATTGGAATTTGGTTGACAAATTTTTTAAAAAAGACAAGCGTTGTGGTATCTTTCCCAACATCAGGATACCCCAAAACATTTCACAGCCAACAAAATACTTTTGAAAGTGTAGCTACTGTTATATTATAGCAAAAACAGTAGCCAATTTGTCCACAGAAATTGCCCTCAAACAACAAAATGAAAAGTTGGGATTGTAATGGGAATACCATGCTGTCCTTGTTGGAATAGAACTTTGGGATCTTTACATTTGTTTCAGTGGGAAGATGGAGCCTCTATTTCATTTCTCATTCAAAAGAAGGAACTTTCGACAATGTAGCTCTCCCAAGGTATCACACATATGTTATGGCACAGTAGGTGGCCATTCAGCCCATCTTGTCTGCATCAGCTCCTCAAATGAGCATTGTTACCTATCGCCACTGCCATCCAGAGAGTGTAGTTTTCCTGGTTGAAAATGTTAGGACCAGGGGCTGAAAGCAGGAAATGGGGCAGGTCATTTAGGAAAAAATTCTTCATTCAAAGTGTAATGGATTTCTGTCTCGCAGGAGGCTGTGGTCAAAGCATATGTAAAGTGGGAATATGATGTTGAGATAGAAGAGCAGGTTTGATGAGCCAAATAACCAACACTTTCTGTGGCTCACGAGGTACTGTATTGGTATATCTTGGTAGAGGGACACTTTTTTTATTCATTGATAGGATGTGGACATTATTGGCTGTGCCAACATTTCATTGCCCATCCCTAAGTGCCCTGAGGGCAAGGGTCAACCACATTGTTGTGGGTCCGGAGGCAATGGCCTAGTGCTATTGTCACTGGACTCTTAATCCAGAGACCCAGATAGTATTCTGGGGACCTCAATTCGAATCCAGCCATGGCAGATGGTGGAATTTGAATTCAATAAATATCTGGAATCAAGAATTTAATAATGACTGTGAATCCATTGCCGATTGTTGGGGAAAAACCCATCTGGTTCATTAATGTCCTTTAGGGAAGGAAACTGCCATCCTTACCTGGTCTGGCCTACATGTGACTCCAGACCCACAGCCGATGTGGTTGACTCTTAATTGCCCTCTTAAATGCTGCCTAAACAGTGATGCCCTCATCCCGTGAATGAATAAAGGAAAAAAAAGCAGAGAGGTCAGAAGTGACCAGGTGCATTTCTCCTGATAAGAACAGCTTCTTCCCTGCTGTTATTAGACTGCTGAATGGACCTCACTAATTTCAAATCTATTGTTGATCTTGCTTTTGTGCACCTCCTGTGCAGCTGTAGCGTTGTGTGCCTCACTCTATGATCTATGCACCCTGTGATCTGCATGTTGTTGATTGTTATGATCTGCCTATACTGCACGCAAAGCAAAACTTTTCCCTGTACTTAGGTACATGTGGCAATGAATCAAATGGTTTCAAGGTCGCTGGATTAATAGTCATTGACTGCCCTTTGAGGTGGTGGCAGTTGGTGACGAGAGCAGGCCTTTTGCATGGTGGTGGTGGCAGTGGCCTACTGGGTGTCCCAGCAATTGTAGCAGTGCCTGCACCACTGCAGAGATGGGACTTGGGACTCCGAGATCAGGGCTTTTCTTTTTCCTTTGCTTACCTTTTGGCTCTGTCAAATCTTTTAGTTCTGATTTTTGTAAGCAAGTGGGCATCAGTGAATGGTGACTTTGTGCTGTACTTATGTATTCCTGTACTTCAGTCAAGAAGCCAGAGAGAGTTTTTTTAAACAACCTGTTCAGTGATGTAAATCACACATCTCGGGAGTAGGTGAGATTTGAACCCACATCACCTAGGCCACAGGTAGGCACATTACCAGTGCACCACCAGAGCCCTCAGAAGCAGAGAAAGTCCAACCTACCTATCTGCATCCTTTTGGAAGCGACTGTCCGCCCCGCCCCGTGATGTCATTACGTCGGCCCCATTGTGCCGCAGGGCGACGCGGTGACGTCACTGCCCCGCCGGCCGTTCCCCACAGCCTGCACCAAAATGGAGGTGGGCGAGCTGCAGAAGTGCGCCTTCAAGGCGATGTTCCCGGCCGCCATTGCCGACTTCCGGCCTTTCCGCTCGTCGCAGGTGTGCCAGGAGCCGGTCGTCGTGCTGTCGGTGGAGAGATACCCGCGGGATCCAGGAAGCGGGGGCGGCCTGTGGGAGGCGCCGGGTGGAGGCGACCTCTACGACCTGAGCCTGTCGGAGGGCCACTGTCGCCTCCGGGCCGTGCTGCAGCCGTCTCTCAACTGGATGGTCCGCCGCAACCTGCTGAGCAGCGGCTGCGAGTTGAGCGAGGTCCGCCTCGGCCTGCAGTACGACGAAAGGCGCCTGGGAGTTGGCGTGCAGGTCTTCGTGCTGCTGGAGGCCCAGGTGGTTTCCACGGGAGGCTGCGGGGCGACCCCTGCCGTCCGGAGGCTGAAACCGCAGAAGCTGTATGTGTTCAACGAGGGCACCGAGCTCCCATTTGGCCCAGAACTGCCCATCAAAGCCAAGAGGCGCTACTACCTACCTCTGTGGGATACTGTCGATTACAATGGGGAGGCTTGGCACCGACACCCGCCTGGACAACCCATCCAGCAATTTGAAGGTGAAGTGGCACCGTCCAGACCTGAAGAATGGTCACAGATAAAAACCAAAAGAACTGCAGATGCTGAAAATCAGAAACAAAAAAACCCTCCGGAATTGCTGGAAAAGCTCAGCATGACCGGCAGCATATGTGGAGAGAAATCTGAGTTAACATTTCCGGAGCACGAGACCCAAATGGAGCAGGCTTGAAACGTTAACTCTGTTTCCCTCCCTCCACAGATCCTGTCAGAAGTCTCACAGCACCAGGTTATAGTCCAACAGGTTTATTTGACATCACAAGCTTTTGGAGCACTGCTCCTTCATCAGGTGAAGTCAATTCACAACGGAACAGCGCTCCGAAAGCTTGTGATGGCAAATAAACCTGTTGGACTATAACCTGGCACGTGTGACTTCTGACTTTGTCCGCCCCAGTCCAACACTGGCACCTCCACATCGTGGCTTCCACAGATGCTGTCAGACCTGCTGAGTTTCTCCAGCAGTTTCTGTTTTTGTCCAGATTTGTCTGGGATCTCCCAAACTTCTAGCCAAATCACTAATATGTCTCTTTCAACCCTCCATCCCCAAATCCATCCATCTATCCCTTCTTTGACCTCTTCCACCCCCTCCATTCCCTTTCTTCCCCTCACCACAATGCTTTGCTAAGCTACCACTCTATGCGGAGCAAGCTCCCATAGACAGCAATGTGATGATGACATTGGGGTGAATGTATTTGAGATTGTGAGCCAAATATTGGGTAGGCTGCCAGGAGAACTCCCCTGTGCCTCCTCAAACTACATGGCATTAGTATCCTTTACTTCCACCTGTGAGGGCAGGTGGAGGGAGCAGAGTCTTGATAAGAGAGCGCTGTTTCATCAAAAAAATGGCATCATCAACAGTGCAGCACTGTCAATAGTACATTTGGAGTATCGGCCTGATTGTTCGCATGCAAACTGAATTTGAGAGGACAGAGTCATGAGTATGCTGATTAGTTGAACGATACACAATGAAAATTACTCAGTCACCTAATATTACACCTTACTGATGAGATACCAGTGAGATTTAAACATGAAATGGTGAACGCTTAATGTAGCCCCTCACAACAGCAACAGAAAGTTTGGGATATTGATGCTAAAATCTATAATTGTAGACTGGGTGGTTATTACTGACAAATTTAACTCTCTGTAACATTTCTACATTGTTAATAGAATTACAACCTCAACGTTCCAAAGCGCTTTACAGTCTTTGAAGAACTGCGGAAGTGCTGCACCATTAGCAATACCATTAGCTGTACTAGTTTGGCTTTAAACTATTCTGGGACAGCTCAAAGTTATGAAGGGTGCGTAAAAATGTCAGTTTGCCAATCTTTCAGTACTGTACTGTGATCACCTGCTTGGATTTTATGCTCAAATCTCTGGAATAGGGTGTGAATCCACAAATCTCTCTCGGGCAGGAATTCTATTCAGTAAGCTATTGCTGATGGTGAAGATCAGTAGGCTGGATTCCTGAAGTGATCTCTTACCTTGTGCATAATTCTTCGTATTGAGGAAACAGTAGCAATTATTGTTTTATAATTTTGTACTAGTGCAGACTGTGTGCAAAACTCTACATTTCAACCAAGATTATCACCAAGCTAGCAGTATCAGCTTCACAACAAGGCTATTGGATAAATATAGCTGTCTAAGCAAAAATGAAAACTTATGGTGCTGTAGAATATATCTCATTAACTTGTATAGATAGTGAAAGTTGGACGAAGATCAGGATTTGCATGGTTGTTGAGGAGCTGCACAAGTTTGGGGATGGTGAGCATTAAAAGGCACTTATCTATTATTGCTGCTACTCACCTTGAGCAATAATTATTTTAAGAGTATCTTTGAGGCATTGAGTAGAATTATTACTGAGTAATTGTTGTTTACTTTGATCAATTTTGAGAATATGAATTCAAATCCACTGTAGAAAAGTCTATAATTCATGGATTAATCTCAGAAAATTACATGATGTATTAAAAATTCAACTGATTCATTAATGTACTTCAAGAAAGAGATGGCGCCACCCTTGCTTATAACATAATTCCATAGGATAGTTAACTCTTCATGTCATCTGAAGTTACTTAGTAAAGCACTCAGGAGTCAAAGAAATTGCTGGCATGTCCTTCACCTACTCAGGACAGGAGGTGGGCATTAAAAGTGATCACATCCCAGTCACACGTGAGTTAGATACAAATGTATATCAGTAGCTGACTGTGGTGCTATACAAGGTAATTTGATTCCATTATGGATGTGGGTGTCACTAGTAAAGCCAGCATTTTTTTGTCATTCCTTGCTCCCCTGAGAACTGGTGGTGAGTTGCCTTCTTGAATCACTGCATGTGTTTGGCTTATGTAGACTCTCAAGGGAGGACGTTTCAGGATTTTGACCCAGCATTATGGAAGGACTGCTACATATTTCCAAGTGAGGTTGGTGAGTGGCTTGGAGGAGATCTTGTAGTGGTGTTGTTTCCATATATCTGCTGCCTTTGTCTTTTTAGATTGTGATGTTTGTGGGTTTTGAAGGTGTTATCAAAGGAGCCTTGGTGAATTTCTGCAGTGTATTTTGTAGATGGTACACACTGCTGCTACTGAATGGTAGTGATGGAGGGAGTGGATGTTTGTAGATGTGATGCCAGTCAAATTGATTGCTTTGTCCTGGATGATGTCAAACTTCTTGAGTGTTGTTGGAGCCGCACTCATCCAGTGCTGTTTTTCTTCAAAAGATGCATGAAGAGAGAGGAGTCTTGCTTGCTTGCAGGTTTTATGAAGATCTGAGATCCCAACTGCTCTCTTTCCTCTCAGTTCTTTGAAAAATTGCTACTTAAAACTAATCCAAACACTGTTGCTGAACATTTTTAATATTTTTTCCAATCAAACATACGTGGTGCTAGTTTGTCTCAGAAGTATCAAATCCAGCTTCTTTAAAAAAATACATGTCCTTATGTAACTAAGAAGTGATCACTTATCCACTTCTGCTTCAAGTTATTAAAAAACACCTGGTAATTCAGACTTTCATATTCCAGTTTATATTTCGAACTAAAATATATGTAGTCTTTACAGTGGAGAGACTAGTGAAGTTCCAATTCCTTTTCTTAGAGTAAAGAAGGTTAAGGAGAAATTTAATAGAAGTGTTTGAAACAATGAAGGCTTTGCTAGACTAGATAGGAAGAAACTGTTTCCGCTGAATGAACGTGGTATCCAAGGGATATTGATTAAAATTAATTGGCAAAAATCCAAGGGGGCTTTGTGAGTACAGTTTTTCTTAGGCAGTGAAATGTAGGCTGAAATATTCTGCCTGAAAGGGTGGTAGAAGAAGATGCACCAGTAACTTTCAAAAGGCAATAGCATCAAACATTAAATCGGGATTAATTAGATAACTCCTACAGAGTGCTGGCGCAGATCTGATGGCCCTAATGACCACCTACGCTGTCTGATACTGCACTGTGCACAGGATGAAGGAGCAGGGACAAAACATGATGTGTGGCGCGAGTAGGTGTTCTCCTGGTTCTGACTTGTTTTTGCTGGATGTATGCAGGATCTTGTAGCATTGATGTAAGACTGCTTGAGGGTTACACCCAACAGAAGAAAAAGGATCTTCCACCAGTGATTGTTCGTATCCTCCGCAAGTTCAGACTTTATCATTTCGGACGGCCTGACAAATATTCAGAATGCCCGTTCCAGGTAAACACCGTTATTGTTATTTTCTCATTCCCAGTTTACTTTTGCTGGATTGCAATTCTGTGTACGCTTGGAACCCTTCAGCACTTGACCAAGTGGACACTCTCGTATAAGACCCCAGAGAGTGCCAGCAGACTGTGAGACATTGTGGAAACCAAGTTTGATTTATTCCACTCCCACAGAATTGACACAAGAACTCTTACTTCCTAGGTTAGTTCTCTCCTGCTTGGGTTGTATGTTCCCTCTGAACTGTTTCTTATTGACCTTTAACAGCACCTCCATATTTCTGTGGCTAATTTATTTGAAGGCTATTGGTTCTAATTTGCAACCCACTTTATGGTTTTCCTCCACATTGCCTCCTGTTCCAATGTGCACTTACAGTTTTCATTCCTCAACTTAGCTCAAGTCATTCCACATTCTCTCTTCCTTTCCACCAGCAACAAGTGCTATTAAAATCCTTCTTTTCATGCTACTAACATTTTTGTGTTCTCCCTGCCTGCCACTTATCTGCCCTTTAACTAGTGCTTAGTGCTGACTTGGTGTAATTTTTCAATTTGGGGCAGAAGGTTGGCTATTATGCTCCTCTCTAGTCCAATCGCTCAGGAGCTAGTTCCTCGTGGTCACTAACCTACTGAAAAATACATATTGTGGATATCGGAACTGGTTTGTCGGTAATGGGCCCTTCAGACAATTGCTTGTTGAGAATTAATCCAAGCTCACAGCAAGCTCTTGAGGAAGGAGGAGAAAAGATTGTAGGAATAAAGCCTGCAGTTAAGTGGTTTCCATGCACTTGCAAACTATTTAAAGTAGGAATGCTTTTATTTTTATGAATACATTCTCAATTTCTATCCTTTAGGCCAAATTCCTAGTAGCTGATAAATCGGGCTCAGCGACACTTGTGCTGTGGAATTCCCTGTGTATGGATTGGTACAGACATCTAGAACCAGGGATGGTAGTGCGCCTGCACAATTATGTTGTGAAGAAAAGTTACACCACACGTATGGGGCACCACCCTGAAGTTTCAAATGAGCCAGCCCTAGGTACTATAACAGTATAGCAAGTTATCAAAGTGATTAGCAGTCTTGTTTTGCCTGTTTAAAACACAGAAGCTTTCAGTTCTGCGTTTGTAGTTTTGGGGAGAGTAATTTTCCTCTATATTGCCCCATCAAACACTTACGAGATAGGTACACATGGCTTAGACACAAACAAAACACTGTTGCCTCAAACACTTCCAGGGCAGATCTCAGAATGGATCCTGGCTTGAAAGATAGTATGTTTAATTATTGCATAGAGACATAGAAAGCATGGAGATAGGAGCAGGAAAAGGCCATTTGGCCTGTTCCAATATTCAGCATGATCACATATGATTCTCTATCTCAATGCCAAACTCCTGCCCTGTGCCTATACCCTGATGCCTTCGGTCTCTAGAAAGCTACCTATTTCTTGCTTAACATATTTAGTAAATTGGCTTCCACAGCCTCTGTGATCGAGAATTCTAAAGGTTCACCACTATGGATGAAGAAATGTCTCCTCATCTCAGTCTGAAGTAACCTGTCATGCATCCTGAGAATGTGCCCTTTATGTGGTTGTTACACCTTCGGAGGAAAACCCAGGGATCAAACCAGGACGCTTGGAATTGGATTCATCATCAAGAACAAACTCGTCAACAGAGTGTCTGAGGTTCCTGTTGGCATCAACGATCTGTGTATGATTTGTCAAGAACCAGCAGACAACAGTCGTGAGTGCCTATTATCCAACTCTTTATGCCGTAGATGAATCCAAAGAAGGATTCTACGCTACCCTGGATACCACACTCAACAACATCCTTAAGGGAGATAAAATTATCCTCCTCGGGAATTTCACTGCCAGAGTTGGAAAGGAAGGAGTTGGGAATTGCAACTCCAGCGTGACTCTTCTGCTCACCAAATGCGCGGAACACCGACTGGTCATCACCAATGCACTCTCCTGCCAAAAAGACAAGTTCAGCACTTCTGGGAGGCATACACAATCAAAGCACTGGCACATGATCGACTACATCATCATTTGATCCTAAGACCAAGGGGATGTCCTCATTACCAGTGCAGACAACTGCTGGACAGGCCACTGACACATCTGCCCCTTTGTGTCCATCACATGCCATCAGAAGCAGCTGAAGACTACGAAGCAGTTCAGAAAAAGGCTTTAAGAGACAATCAGACTGGCAACCTTCTAACAATGTCTTCCCCAAAATCTCAAGAGTTGATTTTAAGTGAGTGGAGGAAAGAACTGAAGACGGCCATCAGTTTACGCTGTGAAGAAACCATCAGCTACAAGACCAGGAAAATCCAAGACTGGTTTGATGAGAATGATCCCATTATTCATCAAGAGGAAGGGGAAAGCTATCTATGCCTGGCAATCTGATGTCACCCGCAGGGCAAAGAGGAGAACTCATCAAACAGCAAAAGGAGAGATACAAAGAAGAACTAGGAAATCAAGATTGAGTGGGAGACTGAGAATGCCAAAGAGATGCAACTCCCTGTCAACAAGCACGACACTCAGGCTTTTTTAGTGCAACCAAGGAAATTATTGGATCCAGCACTCTTGGCGTCAAACCAGTGCAGTGTGAGGATGGACCATTTTGAGAGACAGAGGAAAATACCAGCCTCTGGTGAGAACACTTCAAGGAACTCCTAAACTGCAATGCAATAGTAGATGAGGAAGTGTTTGAGGAAATCCCCCAACTCCCTATCGAAGGTTATCTTGGACTCCCACTAGTGTGGCAGAAGTCAAAGTCATCATTAGACACAAAGAATGGGAAAGCCACAGAAGTGAGTGGGATTCCAGTGGAGATTTTTAAACTTAGAGGAGCAAAACTTACCTGTCATCCCCATCGAATGTTCCTGAAAATTTGGGACAAAGAAGAAATCCCTGCCAATCTCAGGCATGCTGCCATTGTCACCATCTTCAAGAAAGTAGACAAAGCAGACTATAGGAACTACTAGGAATGTCTCTACTCTCCATCTTCAGGAAGATCATCACCCGATTCCTCTCTGAGGAAATCCTTCCTGAAAGCCAGTGTGACTTCCGACCAAACTGTGCAAGTGTGGACGTGATTTTCACTGCTTGGCAACTCAAAGAGAAATTTCACGAGGAACCCAACTGCTCTACGTGGCGTTCATTGATCTGACCAAGGCTTTTGACTCAGTTAATTAGGAAGTGCTATGGAAGACCCAGTCAAAGGTCAGCTGTCTAGAGAAATTCATAACATCATCCATTTCCTCCGTGGTAAGATGTTGGTGACTGTCCTCATTGATGGAATATAACGATCCTTCTGAAGTCGAGACAGGAGTCAAGCAGGGATGTGACATCACCTCATCGTTCCCTACATCTTCATTGCCTCATTTTTCTGTCTTGTCAAGAACAAGCTTCCCAGTGGTGTGTACATTGTCTACAGGATGGGCAGAAAACTTTTTCAACCTCACCAGGTTGAAATCCAATAGGAGAACTCGGACCTTGCTCGTGAAATTTTAGTATGAGAATGACAATGTCTCCGAAGAGAATCTTCAAGCCTTGCTTGACGCCTTCGTGGAAGCATACCAAAGAACTGGCTTCAGCCTCAACCTGAAGAAGACTCAAAGCCTTTACCAACCTGTCTCAGTCACCATCAATGGAGAAGTACTCTCAAACGTCATTTCCCCTGCCTGGGAAGCTACCTCTCATCTAAAGCTGACATTGATGAGGAGATTTAACATTGCATCCAGTCTATGAGTGCTGCCTTCAGACACCCAAGGATGAGAGTCTTTGATGATCGTGACTTCAGTGCTGATACCAGGATTCTGGTGTATGAGGGTAGTCATCGGTCTGACTCTTCTGAATAGGTCTTAAACTTGGATTATGTATAAATGTCACCTTAAAGGGCCTAGAGAAGTACTTGGAGACTCTGTATCAGTTGGGAGTTTAGGCAGACTAATATCATCAGTCACACAAGGATTCACAAAACCCATGACCAGTGACATGGAATTTCCTAGGTGTCCATTCCTGTTAGTGAGTGATTGGCAATGGCAACAATAGAGGGTGAATGGGTATGAGACACTATGGGGATAGATGGATGGGCCGACACTGGCATAGAGACCATGAAGGGCAATGGGGGTGGATGTTACAGTAACTTGGCACGAGGGGCTGTTAGTGTGGAGCATGAGGGGGTGCATACCCTGACATGGGAAGACATGAGGAGAACCTTTTGCACGTGCTTTTCAAAAGGTTCTCCCATGTCAACTCTTGTCCTAAAGTCTTTGAAAAAGTGACCCAGCTCCATAAAGATTCAGAGGACTAGGACTTGCCTATCTCTGCACTGGAGCTAGCCGTAGTAGCTGGGGAAGGTGCCTGCTTACCACCTGAACAAATCCCCACTCTTCAAAGGCACTGGTGACAATTCATAACCCAGAAAAAGGGGTTGGGAATCCTAGAATCTGGTCTTGGTCACCTCTCCACACTACAGTCTGTCCCCAACTTTACGAAAATCTTGGCCTTTTTGTCTGCCTGAGAGAGCAGACAGGTCTTGCTTTAAGGTATTATCCAAAAGGTGGACTCTGACCTTGAAGCAGTCCCTTAGGACTTGGTGACAGCCTATATTCTGTCTTGTTTATCAGGAGTAGCGTTTCTCATCAGTTATAGTTCTATGGCTTGAAAGTCTTACTTCTCCAAGCTCCCCAGACCTGTTAGCCAAATAGTAACTTTTAAATTAAACCTTAAGCAAAAATATAAAATCATAGCCTTAGATGGAGACGGGACAGAATATCAGATCTCTGAATAAATACTTGGTTACATTATCACTGGCAGAATTATCTGCTCTGTATCTCCGCTTCAACCAAAAATGACAATTATTGTTGATTCCGTTTATGTCTAACCACAGAAGATAATTTTTTAAATTAAGATAATGTCAATGACCTTTAGTTCACAATTGATCTTTGCTGTTTAACCTTTGCACTGTTTCCAGAGCTAAATTTAAACCCAAGGAATCCAGCGGCTGAAATTACCGTGATCAATGCCAAGAATGTTAGAGAAGAATGGCACTTACCAGAGCTGCAGTATTGTTTTGCCACCAGGTAGCACTCACTTCCTGCTTTGTGCTAAGTAATTCAAATAAACCTTAAGCAAAATAGCAGCCTTGAAGAAAAGATGGCTTTAAAGTGTGACACAACCTTAGGACCAGACGGTTTCCATGCGGGGTTTTAAATGAAGTAGACGAGAGCATTGCACATGCTGTAACTATAATCTTTTAGAGTCTCCCTGATTCTGGAACCGTTCTTTAGGTTGGAAAATTTTGCATGTCCCCTCACACTATATGAAAAATAAGAGGAGAACCAGGGGATTGTACACCAGTTAGCCTAATATCTGTTGTCATGAAATCACGAGAGTCTTTAATGAAAAACGAACTAATTATTGTGACAGAAGCCTTGTACAGAGAGCACACGTGGATTTATAAAGGATGAGCCATGTCTGATGAATCTGGTTGAATTTTTGAGAGGAAAAAGCATCAAGAGAAAATTCAGAGAGAGTGGCAACCAGGAGATGTTCCCTGAAGCTTCAAACTCTTTTGAAACCCTAATAGCTTCTGATGCTACTCAGAAATCCTGATCTATGAGAGCTGGTTACACCATTCAGGCTGTTTAAAAAATAACCTAAGGCCTCCCAAGCTGTATACACAAGTATACTTAACTAGCCAGCTTGATACCTCTGCATTACAACCTCTGTTCAAAAAATTAAGCAGGACAAAATAACCTCTTAAAGTGACAGCATCGTCATGCATCTACTCACATTGGAATAGCCTGTTGACACACATTTAGTATTCTTCCTTAAAATTTGTACATGGGATGCTAAAATCACTGGCTGGCTCATCATTCATTGCCCTGGGATTGGTATGGTGAACTGCCTTCTTGAGCTGCTGAGGTCCTTGGGCTTTATCGACGCCCACAATGCTGCACGTTCCAGAATTTTGACCCAGTTACTATGAAGGTACGGTGGTTTGGTAGGGAACTCTCAGATGGTGGTATTCCCAGGCATCTGCTGCCCTTTGGAAAGTGATGGTTCTTAATGATATGCTCTTTCTATAAATTTGCATGGTCTTTGATTTCTTTAGTTAATTACAAATGGTTGGTCCTCCTGTTTGGATTTTTTTTTCTGGTCAGAATGTATTGTGTATTTGGAAATGTCCCCTTAAATATCTGCCATTGTATCTATGTTGATCTATCCCTTTTTGTATTTCACTCGTTGTGACAATTCACAAGAATCAGCAGCAGTGGCAGTCACTTGCTAACGAGTGTAATTATCTACCTCAAATTGTGTGTCATCAGTTCTGTGGGTCCTTGCGTCGCAGTTCAGCCTGGTCTTGTAACCACATCTCCAACCACACATTTGGCAGGATATATCCAAGAGGGGTTATTGGTCCTTGGCCTTGAAGTTGCTTGCATTCCGTTCTCTTGTCGCCTTTCCGTGCTTCGTCTTGCTGACGGTTGTTCTCGAAGAACTATGTCCCTTATAGAAGAGCTCCCTCCAAGTTGGTTTCTTCTGAACAAGGGTCTCCCATGCGTTGACATCTGTGTTGCATTTCTTGAGGGAATCCTTCAGGGAGTCTTTGAAACTGTTGCTTTATCCTCCTCTTATTTGAGTGCCTTCCTGGAGCTGGACGAAGGTGATTTGCTTTGGCAGTTGGGACTCAGGCATCCTACACCTGTCCTCCTGGCTGATGTGGAGAATCCATCTTAAACCGCCTTGATGGTACCTCTCAGGGACATTTCAGCAGTGTCTATAGGTAGTTCAAGTTTTTTAGCCATATAGAAGAGTCAAGAAAAAAAACGACCTTATACACAAGATCTTGGTATTGGCATAGAAGTCAAAGTCTCTCAATCTTAGCCGTTCAAAGGCGATGTTTGCAGATAGTATGCAATGTTGAATCTCCGCATTAATGTCAGTCTTAGATGAGATTTGGCTTCCCAGGTAGGGGAAACATTCAACGTTTGGGAGGATTTCTCTGTTAATCTGAATGGAGGAATGGACTGGAACTTGACCTGGGACATGATGGTAAAGGTTTCTTGAGGTTGAGACTGAGATTAATTCTTTAGTATGCTCCCACAAAGGCATTAAGTGAGGCATGAAGATTCATTTCCGAGAGCACGGAAATGATCTTATCCGCATATTGAAGTTCAAGTGAGCTCAGTGTTGTTTTCTTCATTGATTTTAACCGGTTGAGGTTGAAAAATGTTCCTATCTATCCTGTGGACAATGTCTGCACCACTGGGAAGCTTGTTCTTAACAAGAAGAAGAATAGTGGTGATGAAGATGGACCTAAGGGTGGGGCGCAACGGCACATCTTTGCTTGACTGCTGTCTTGCCCTCGAAGGATTCTGTTACATTACCATTGGTGAGGACCATCGCCAACATCCTTTCATAGAGGAGACCGGGAATGTTGATGAATTTCTCTGGGCAGCCGGCATTTGACAGGGTCTAACAAAGCACTTCGGGATTGGCTGAGTCAAATACCAAACATTTTTACAGTATGAGTAGATTTGATTTGATTTATTTTTGTCACGTGTACTGAGATACAGTGAAAAGTATTGTTTTGCAGACAAATCATACCTTACATAAGTACATCAGGGTAATAGAACAGAATGCAGAATATAGAGTTACAGCTACAGAGAAAGATCAACTTGAATATGTGAGAGATCCGTTCAGAAGTCTGATAATAGTGGGCAAGAAGCTGTTCTTAAATCTGTTGGTACGTGTTTTCAAACTTTTGGATCTTCTGCCTGATGTAAGAGGGTAGAAGAGAATAGAACCAGGGTGGGAGGGGCCTTAGATTATTTTGGCTGCTTTCCTGAGGCAGCGGAAGCATACATGGAGTCAACAGAAGGAAGGCTGGTTTGCGTGATGGGCTAGCTGTATTCACAACTCTTTATAATTTCTTGCGGTCTTGGGCAGAGTGGTTGCCGTATCAAGCTGTGATGCATCTATAAAAATTAGTGAGAGTCATTTGTGGACATGCCGAATTTCCTTAGCCTTCTGAGAAAGTAGAGGCTTTGTTGTACTCTCTTGACTGTAGCGTCAACAATCATGGACATAGACTGCTGATTGGTGGAGGTGTTATCATGGAGAATGCAGCAAAGTAGGTAAATCTCCTGGTTGAAATATTTCCCAGGCTGCTGAGTGACATTGAGGTTGAAATAGCAGGAGTGTTGGCAAGAATTTTCAATTCCTCCCTGGCCACAGGAGAGATGCTAGCAAACTGGAGGACAGCCAATCTAGGGCTGTTATTCAAGAAGGAGCAAGCTAGTTTAAGCTCAGTGGTGAGGAAACTGTTGGCCCAGCAAGTGATACCCACATCCCTCAAGTGAATAAAAAAAATGTTGCAGGATAAAATTAATCAACACTTGGAGAGGCAGGGATTAATCAAGAACAGTCAGCATGGTTTTGTTAAGGGAAGGTCATTTTTCAAAGAGGTAACCAGGGGTATAGATGAGGGTATGTGTCATAGTCAAGGCTGTCAATAAGGTGCCAGGTGGGAGACTGATAATGTAGGAAAGAACCCATAGGATCCAAGGAAATTTGGCTAATTGAGTCCAGAATTGACTGAGTGGCTGGAAGCAGGCGGTGATGGTGGAGGGATGTTTTTTGTGACTGGAATCCTGTGTCCATTGGGGTTACACAGGGATCAGTGTTGGGCTGTTGTTGTTTGTAACGTACATAAGTGATTAAATTGAAGATAGGAGGGTTGATCAGTAAGTTTGTGGATGATAAAAAAAGAATTGATGGGTAGTAAATAGTGAGGAGGATAGCCTTAGACAACAGGAGGGTATTGACAGGCTGATCAGTGGCAGATGGAATTCAATCTAGATAAGTGTGAGGTGATGTATTTGGGCAGGATAAACAAGGCAAGGGTCACCAGACCCGAAACGTCAACTCTGATTTCTCTTCACAGATGCTGCCTGACCTGCTGAGCTTTTCCAGCAACTTCTGTTTTTGTTTCTGATTTACAGCATCCGCAGTTCTTTTGATTTTTATTGAGGCAATGGAATACATGATGAACAGTAGGATCATAGGAAGCATGGAGGATCAAAGGGATCTTGATGTGTATTACACTGGTCTGTACCAGGAAAAATAGATAAAGTGGTTAAGAAGGCATATGGAATATGGCCTTTGTTAGCTAAGACATACAGTTTAAGAGTGGGAAGTTATGCTGGCACCGAATTAAAAAGTTACTTAGGGCATAGCTAGAGAATTGTGTGCAGTTCTGGATTCTACACTGGGAGGAATGTGATTGCACCAGAGAGGGTGCAGAGGAGATTTACTAGGATATTACCTGGGCTGGTGAGTTTTAGTTATGAAGAGAGATTGGATAGACTTTTGTTTTTACCCTTGGAGCAGAAGAAACTGAGGGAGGACATGATTGAGATGTATAAAATTGAGGGGCATAGATAGGGTAGACAGGAAGAAACTTTCCCCTTTTGAGGGCTCAGGGACCAGGGGTCACAGATTTAGGGTAAGGGGCAAAGGGTTTAGAAGGAATGTGAGAAAAATTTTTTCATCGAGGGGGTGGTGGGAATCTGGAACTCGCTGTCTGTCGGGGTGGTAGAGCCAGAAACCCTCATAACATTTAGAAGTATTTAGATGTGCTCTTACAATGCCAAGGCATTACAAGGCAATGGGCCAAGTGCTGGAAGATGGGATTAGAATAATTAGGTGGTTGTTTTTGACTGGTGCATACTTGATGGGCCAAAGGGCCTTTTTCTGTGCTGGAAATGTGTATGTCTCTGCATTCTCCAGCTTAAATGCTTGATATCTTCTCACTAAATTGTACAAGGTAACAGATTCGTAATTGTATCTGTCTCATTGTTGATGCAGGAAGGAAGTATCAGGGCTTTGCGCTGGAGATTTGTGCAGCATCGTCGGCTTTGTTACTTTTGTTGGTAGACAGGAGCGCATCCGAAACAAAGGTATGTAAACTGAATCTCCCAGGCATTGTCATTTCTCGTACTTAGGCACAGACCCACATCACTCCCTTAACCTGTCAGACCCACGACCTTATTCCCAGGCAGCTGTCATTCATTGTACCTCACTCCCAGAAACCTAACACTTTCTGCCTCACTCCCAGGTGCCTGTTGTTCCCTCTTCCTCACTCTCAGGCATCTGTCACTCCCTGTACCTCATTTCTTTGGTCAGTTTCTGCTAGGTGTTGGTCCCGCTGTGTACCTTCCAGACTTGTGAAATGAATGGCCCCCTGTGCTGTAAGATTCTGTGACATAGATTAATGATCTTTAAATGGTCTGCCTTAATAAGTTATCAGTACATGAGGGCTTTGGATTAAAGGAATTCGGTCCAGTGCTCCATTTGTTTCATGTTCAGTTGATCTTTGCAGAGCGACCTGACGAATTCCTGGTTTATCGCTGGCTGCACCTGCTTGATGGAACAGCCTCAGAACCTTTTGTCCTTAAGCTTTTCTCAACCTCTCAGCCTGAGATTCAGAGTCAGATATCCCCATGCAGCCTGGCAGACAATACTGGTAAGAGGCTTCACACTGCTTATTGTTTGTGATGTTTGTGAAAAGGTATTCTCCCATGGCTCATTCTGTTGCTTAACATGACGCTGGGAAAAAAAAGAGTTGCATCTCTGCCACATCTTTCATGATCATAGGATGTTTAAAAGCAACCAACACTGCTAAAGTATAGAAAATGTGGCAGCCAGTTTGTGCATAGCAAGATTCCACATACAATAGCATGATAATGACCAGATAATAGACCTTGTCGTAATTTTGGCTGAAGGCTAAATATTGGCCCGTGCTATTGTGGACAGTTGCCCTCCTTGTCTATGAAATAGTGACTGTAGGATGGTTCTTTTCCATTCACCTGAGAGGACAGTCATGTACTTCATGAAAGTTTCATCCTAAAGACCGCACTCCCTCAGTGCTGTACTGTAAGTGTTAGACTGGTTTCTGTGCTCAAGTCTTGTGGGACTTGATGCCTTGCTGATTTCCAACTCTGGTGAGGGTATGGTTCACTGAGCTGTTAACGGCTACTAACCCATGTAGACCAAAAATCACTTCCACTCCCATGTTTCTCATGGTTAGCCACTGGATGTTGAGTCTCCAATCATCACTGGACACCCTTCAGTATCCAGCAGAGAATCGCTACTCCAGGTCAGAGGTGCTAACTGGGAGCAAATTGACCCTGGCAACTTTTGAGTGAGTAACTTAACTAGGTGTCTGAAAATGCTTGTGTAAACTGCTGTAATTCAGAAAATTGATTGTAATTCCCTTGCTGGTATTTTTCAATTCCAACTGTCTCAAATTTTGTCTCAGGTGTAAATAAGAGATAGTAAGAACTGCCGATGCTGGAGTCAGAGATAACACAGTGTGGAGCTGGAGGAACACAGCAGGCCAGGCAGCATCAGAGG